GCTTTTTGTAGTTCAGTGGTGGAGTGGGGCGTTGGACCGGGGGTACGAGCCGTACCCCACTTATTTTGCAAGCATGGATTTCTTTTTAATAGTCTAATAGCCTACATCTAAAAATCATTGCGGGTACAAGCGGCCGAGATGGGTTTTCTTCCGGCAGGTGGCTGGTTCCCTTAGGGATAAGTGAGAAGTTCGGTNAATTGGCGGCCCGCGGGCCAAATCCGGCCCCCGGTTGATATTTACTGGCCCTTTGAGTATAATGTTAAAAAGTAAAAAAAAAAAAATTAAAGTTTAATTTAATTAAACTTTAATTTTTTTTTTTTTACTTTTTAACATTATACTCAAAGGGCCAGTAAATATCAACCGGGGGCCGGATTTGGCCCGCGGGCCGCCAATTGAATAGCCCTGCTTTACACCAATATGTGTCAAAGTAGGTGGGAAAATAGGACTATTTTAAAGTATGCAGATGTAATTGTTAGTAGGCTCCAGGACAATGAGACCAGCCACGGCCCTGTCATTGATGACTTTATCAGGTGGTGTGAGGAGTCCTATCTACAACTGAACATAAGCAAAACCAAGGACATGATCATTGATTTTAGAAGACATCCCCACATACATGAAGTCTTCACAATCCAGAATCAGAAAGTAGAATTTGTGCAATCATACAAATATCTCGGGACAATTATTGACTCAAAATTGAGCTCTGATCCAAACTGTGAAGCTGTGTGCAAAAGGGGGCACCAGCGTTTGCACTGTCTTAGGAAATTGTCCTATTTTAACATTGACAAAACCATGATGATTATGTTTTATCGTGCTTTTATCGAGTCAATTCTGTCTTTCTCACTAATGTCATGGTTTGGTAACCTGACTTTAAAGAGCAGAAACTCTGTGAGTCAGATCATAAAGTGGTCCAGCAGACTGATTGGTGAGCCACAGCTAAACCTGGAGACCCTGTACCTCAGTTCCAGCGGTTATCCAGCTCCATATTAGACGATGACTCCCACCCTCTGCACTCAGAATTCAAGCTTCTTCCTTCGGGCCGGAGGTTACTCGTCCCAAGGAGTAGAACGAAGCGGTATAAAAGCAGTTTTATCCCAGCAGCTATTGCACAAATTAATACATCATAGGAGCGTCACACAGATGCCTATTTTTTATTTTATTTATTTATTTAATTGTGAATTTTGATTGTCCATGTTTGCACTAGTGTTTTCCTTCTTAAAATGTTTTTTAAATATTTTGAGATTTGGTTGATTTGGTTTGATTTGTACTTGTACTTTTACTAGTCCTTTATTAGAGATGTGTCTGTTTTTAGTGTCAGGATGGAACCCTTGTCTTTTTCTCTGCAAACAGAATCTACCTACGGGTACAAATAAATAACCTGAACCTGATTTTCTGGCAACTGTCTTAAATTAAGAGATGGAACAAATCATGTGGAGACTTCTTTTCAACATGATTTGGCATGCTTCTTGTAAAGGAGGATACATGTGTTGCTTTTTAATCCACATGCGTGCATCGGCTTCTGTCTAAGTTTAGTTTGTATCTTCTTTCAGTATACTTTCTTTTTTCTTCCTGGCAGTCTGCAAGCTATTTAAACTCTCCAAGAGATTAGTCCTGTGAGTTTCATAATGTTTTTGTTGCCGTCAGTCTTTTTCTTCTCCCAGAAGGTGCTACTTGAGCTTTTCTTACTTTTGTGCAGGGTTACTTTCAGTATTGCATCGAAGTTCATCTAATTTGTTGTACCAATTTCCCTTGCAGCAGTCGGTCAATCATTGTGGAAATGTTTCAGAAGAGCTCTAAACATGAGAGAGGAAATGAGCCGAGACGGATGTGCCCAAAAACACACCGTGGGAGATGGAAGTGAACGAGACAAAAAGGAATAAATTAGGGAGGAAGGATGAGCGAAAGCAGAAAGTGAGACGGGGAGAAAGAGTGGAGAAGGCAGGTGAGCTATGAGCGTGCTGACCTTCATTCTCGCTGTCAGAATAAAATAAACACAGCAGCCCTTGCCCCTCTAGCTGGATCAGATTGCCAGTCCATCAGCTGTCCCATTAACATGTCAGAACAAACAAACTAAACGAAAAACACAAAGCACCAGCGAGCATTTGGACGGATGGATGGATGGAAAGCTTGGAGGGGCACTGGCTGTGTGGTTTTGTAGCGAGAGTTGTACTGCTGAGCATTGGGGATCTGTCATCAGTCATTTCTCTCTGTCTTTCCCTCTTTCTGCCTGAAAACAATAGCACAGCAACGACAAGCCAAGCCCAGAGAGAGGTTAGAGGGTTGTGTCTAATACATGCACGGAATACCATCCAAAATGTGCGAACAAGTGTCTCCTGCAATATTATTAGAATCTTGCGTCTTTTAGTCGGCGCCACATTAAAGTGGGTCACATTTTGTGATCTCATAAGCAGCCTCTAAATTATGCTCCAGCACTCTTTCCCCGTCCCAACTGCAGTTCACGAGGTGCAGAAGAAGAAAGAGAGGGAGAGGCAGCTTTGCTCAATGACTCCTCAAGCTAGCATGCAGATTGTCTATTTGTTTATATGTTTGCACTCTTAATCTTGTCAAGTGTGTTATAGAGCACAGCTGTCGGTATACAAAACTAGTGGGGTGGCTGATCTAATACATTGAGCTCTTTTTTTACCTCCCTGCATGCCCCCACTCTTTTACTTCTGCATTTAACAGCACAGATGGATCTACAGTGGCTCCTGGTGGAGATCTGAGGTACTGTGGGATACACTGGGATGCAGTGGTTATGTGAAATCCATGACCTAGTTTTTCCTCTTGTTTACATTGCATGTCTCTTGTTAATGAAATCACTGTTAGGAAAAACTGGTAGACCTTTTTCGACATGAATAGGAGACAAAGGAGACTGGAGCGGCCTCCTCGGTTTGACAGATTAGCCCAAATCCATTGATTCTGAGTAAGAGAGCATAGCAGCAAGCTGGCACCGAGCACAACTGCTTTCATGGATTCTGGCAACTGGGGGAGTGTTATGTCATAGGAGAAAAAACGTTAACATACTGTGCTGTAGATATGTAGAAAAAAGAGATTTAAAAAATAATCTATCAATCTATGTGTTCAATTCCATCTCTTGGGGAAAACCTTGGGAGATGTATAATAAATCCATGGTGAATACATGTTGAAGAGTTTCTTTTACTCACATACAGTATTGATTAAGTCAGTGTGCTGGCAACATTTCTGAACAGAACATAAGGTCCTTTAGGGTATGAAGCAAGTGAAGCTTGCATTGTAGAGAAGGCAAGTCATCGTGTTTCTCGAGCACTTCCCTCTCTTCATTTTCTGCTTTCCCTTCTGAGAGGTGATCTGGGGAATTGTGCACTACCTGGTGGAAGGTACCTGTCACACAGCCTGGGAATGTTTCACCTGGAAAAAACAAAAGGGCGTTGATAGTCTTGGCAATTTCTTTGCACTCTTTCATTGTTTATCCATCTTACCTCGGTTTTCTGTTCTATGTAATATACATTTTTTTACTTGATGCCTCCTGCTGATCTTGTTCGATGCTAATGTTTTGGATCATAAGCCTGTTTTCTTAAAGCCCCTGTCACACTGTCCCGAAATTGACACCAGATGGACACACGATAAAGGAAATGTTCAAATTCGGCTCTGATCGTAGCAACGTCGGGGCATTCGTGAGGGCATCTTAAGCCATCGTATGACCG